TGACAGTGAGGGCAAGCCTACGGACACCACGAGGCCTGTCTGTGAGAAATGTTTTAGATCCCTGCAAACCAAGGGAGCCAACACATCAAACTTGGCTAAGCACCCGCCGACCGGCATCCAGAGCTGTTTAAAGAATTTAAAGACAGACAGGTTAGCGAATGTGATAGATAACATAATTACATCATGCTCAAGCCCATGCCCTCAAAAGTCAAACAAGTGTAATTTATTTTGTGACAAACGAACGTTTTCGTAGTTTGACAAGGCAATTAATGGCAATGATAACTGTCTAATATGGCTATCTTTTTAGCTAATTTACCAATGTGGCTAACATCTACAATATACATTTTGTCAATAATTATTTATATTACTGTTACATGACATGTACATGTTAATAAAATATAAAAAAAATTATATTTTATAAAACAAAAAAGTTGTTTGAGATGATGCTTAATTGTATTTAATACGAATTATTTTCATTTATTTTGTTTATTGTTCTCATTGTTTAAAGGTTTGTGTTATGGTTCTGGTGTGAAATAAAGCACAATAATTACATTTAAGACTGTCTCCCTTTTTTTAAGAAAAGTATCGAAAAAGAATCGGAATCGCAATTCTTAACTTGGTATCGGTATCGAAACCGAAATGTTGGTATCGTGACAACACTAATGTAGATAGTATAAGAAATGTACAGAATTTGACAGTTTAATGGTGGAGGTACACACATATTGATAGATGTCTTGTAATGCACTGTTGAGGAACCTGCGACCCAAGTTTTTCATTCATTGCATAACTCCACCATAGTTGTGTATATGATATGTCAATAAGCCTTTGAAAATCTTGAAATCTTGAAAGGGATGTGCAAAATAGCCATTATACAGTCTTTCATTAACTATTAGTAGAGAATAACGAGTAATTAATATACTTTATAGGGATCTGCAGATAAATGTTTAGTCTTCTCAAGCACAAACTAATATCTCACCTGATTGTTGGCTTGTCCCGTTCAAGTCCAGTTTTGGATAGTCTGCCGTGGTTTCGTTCCATTTCAAAGTGCTGTTTGACGCTCGGCGTAACCTTGGCGCACTGCAACTCCAAAATCCAATCCCAGTGCTTGAAAATTAACCACGGGGACTGTAGTCCCAAACGATAGCTGAGGATTATGGGTAGTGTAGTGTCTTCGGCCATCCTAAACTCCGAAATGTTTTTCAGATTTCATATCGCATTAACACCATATCCCAACGTGCATTGCGGCTAAAACATCCAATCACCGAGCTTAAACCATAGCTGAGAATCTTGGGTAATCAGTTCAGTGGGTGTCTATCGCAATGATGCTCGAAATGTCCCATATAGGCCTACGTCTGTTTCCGGTTATTTTTATTTTGAAATTCAGTTCCTGACGGACGCCAAAAAAGCCTGGGATTATAGAATCAAACACATAAATAAAAACAAGGATAATTGTGTGTTATTGTTGAGTAAATAACAGTGTTTTATTTAGAAAAGAATAACAAATTAGAAGGAAAAAACCTTAAAAAAATACAGATTTCAGTATTCTGGGGCTCTGAGACCCATTTATTTTCCTCGCGGACGGCAAAAAAAGTCAGAAATTATACGATTTAAAATAAAAACAATAATCGTGGCTTGATATTGAGTAAGAATATGTTTTTATGAACCCCACAGCTTCCGGTCTTCCACGACCCGACCGGACAAAAAGACGTGTTTTAGGCACGAAACACAATACCAATAGAAATACATTACTTTTAGAATCGTTCTGTGTGACACGAAGAAAAGGGTAAAATGGTGTTGGTGAACAAGAATCAATAGATTAAATGTCGTGACTATAACACAAAATGCCGTGAGACTGGGTTGTCACAGCACAAACACTTTAATAGCCCTCATTTAAATAATTAACGGCCCGTCCACACGGCGGCGTGCGTTGAAGCTTCAACGCTTCTGCCCATTCACTTTGAATGGGGTGACGTCACGCTTTGCCGAACTGCATTGTGGGAGCGTTGCTTCGCTTTGCTCGCGTTGATCGCTTCAAAAGTTGAGCAATGTTCAACTTTTGAAGCTTCGGCGGAAGCGTCAGCCAATCAAATCATATGCCAGTACAAGCTCTAGCCAATCAAACCGCTTGCTTGTGTGTCCGGGGCGGGAAATTCATGTGATTGGTTGTTGGTCGAGCTTCAGACACACCCGCGGGCAAGCTTCAACGCATGCCGCCATGTGGACGCTGGGCTGGGTAAGGCCTCCAAATAAAAAAAAATGTCTTCACGGCCTAATTCAGATTTAGATTTGTTCATCTAAACCTGGCGTAACACTGAGTGGAGACAGGTATATATCTATCTACTGTCAGGCCATTTTTGCTTCATCTGCCACTGAGAAACTTGTTTACGAATGAACAAGGTTCCACCTCCAACGCTGTATCCAGTTTTCTTCATACATTCATGGCTAGCATGCTGTAGGCTAGCATGCTGTAGGCTAGCATGCTGTAGGCTAGCATACTGGATGCTAGAAGGCTGGGCTGCTTGCTGCTTGCTAATTGCTGAGGACCTGGGACTGATGCTGGTAACTTGGAACTTCTGATGGTGAATCAGTAGTGTGGAGGAAATGAGCGGCCAACACAGCAACAACGTTCTTGAACCATGGCTTTAACAACACTTCTTTGTGTGCAACGTTATTGGTAGCCATCTTCCAACAATGTTTGAGGCACAGGTTGGTAAGAATTAGCGCCTACAGTTCAGCACAGGTTGGTAAGAATTAGCGCCTACAGTTCTTCAAACTATAGAAATTTGAAACCACTTCATACCCCTCTATTTACAGCCCTTTAACTTAGACTGTGTGCATATTTAAACTTGACCCTTTAAGTCATGCTTGACAACCGTGATTGGCAGCTGCTTTGAATTGAGTAGTCGTGAAGCCAGAGAACTGTGGAGGAGATGTTACTTATCATAACAGTCACATCTAATGGTCAAATGAGAGGAAAAACTGAGTTTAGTGTCACTGAAAGAGAAAGGAACCTATATTAATGTCTCTTTGTGTTATATGTGTTATTAATGTGTTGTAGAGACGTGTGTGTGTGTGTGTGTGTGTGTGTGTGTGTGTGTGTGTGTGTGTGTGTGTGTGTGTGTGTGTGTGTGTGTGTGTGTGTGTGTGTGTGTGTGTGTGTGTGTGTGTGTGTGTGTGTGTGTGTATGTGTGTGTACCGATCATAGGCCAGTGTATTCTTTCCATAGTTGATCTGTTTCTGTCGCCTTAGCAACACTGCCTCATCAGTTTCAATGTGTTCCCCCTCTTTTGAGTCGCAGCTGGAACACAGACGGACAGGTGTTCTCACACACACAGACTCCAACAATGAAAAAGGTGCAACAGAAGTGGACATACCTCCCCGATGAGCCAGAGGAGATCTTCCTCTCTCTCTGGGTGACCTCTGCACCCAGTATCCTCCTCCTGTAACTGAACAGTGCACACACAGTCAGTCACAATCAAGACTCAGTGGAAAGTGTGCTGTGAACCACTGGGATAGAAGCAGAGTGTGGTTACCGCTGCATGTCTCTGTGTACGTCTCTCTTCATTTCATCATTCTCCACCTGACTGCCCCAGTCAGCCTTTCTGCCGCAGCGAGACACCGGGCCTGTGCCCTCTGGAGTGGTGAAACTAGGGAGGAAGCACAAGGGGGGTGAACCAGCATTAACACACAGAGGGGAATGGAATTACTGTTGCCACAGTGCAAGTAAATGTAGTTTAAGCCACAAATAGCCATCCCTGGCCCAGAGGGCAAATGATGAGATAGAAACACAAGATGGATATGAAGAGAAGAGAATACTAGAAGGAGATAATCACGAGGTCATTCACCCCTTGTTGCCAAATACTACAGAAATAGAGCTAACAGTTTGGTTTAATGATGATCGTCCAGAGCTTCTAACCTTCAGATCACCTTACTGAAATAAGTCAAACAAACTGTTCATATCTAGCCCTGATATTTCATCTGCACGTTGGTACACACTCTGCAGTGCTTTTTGCTATTCTGGTAAATGTGCAAGTTGCAAATTGTGTCAAGTTGAATGTACTGTTTTTATTGCAGCTGTATTCTCTTACCTAGCATTTCTGCTGTCGGAGTGCCCACCCTTTTCTCGACCAGCGTCCTCCTCTCTGTTGGCCCGCAGGCTTCCGTCGACCCCTCTTTTCCTGCAGTGGGACCACCGGGACGGACCAGAGCTCCTACACAGTAGAGACAAGTAAAGATAGCATATTATTAACATGGAACTTTAGGTTCAACGTCAATTTAGTAGCCCTTCAGTGCTAGTGTGTCTCTAATCATTGTTTCTATCTGTTCAGACACACACAGTGGGTGAATGCCGACTCCACAGAAAACGGTCAGGAGATGCAACTCCGGAAATTGGGTCAGTCTTTGTTATTGGGTGGCGAATGGACGAATAATATGCTAATCTATAACTAATCGTGGTAAGGTCAAGTGATTTAAAATCACAGGTGGGAGAATACTCAGATCTGGTACTTGAGAAAAAGTAGAAGTACTCAGATCTGGTACTTGAGNACACACACACACACACACACACACACACACCAGACACACACACACACACACACACACACACACACACACACACACACACACACACACACACACACACACACATACACATACACACACACACACACACGCTGTATTTTTCTCTCTTGGTCTCTGTCATGCAGTTTCCCTATTTCTGTCTATTTCTTTTTCACTGTTTCTTTTTAATATCCTTTGCACACACACACACAGACACGCACTGACACACACCATTGCAGAGCTCACAGGGCCACAGGAGAGAGGGGAAAGAGGAGAAAAGAGGAAGAAATGGAGAGCAGGAACTGGCGGAGGAGGAAACTACATTCCTCCTACGCAGTAGAGGAGATATGAGGAAATGTAAATGTGACTACAGGAGCTATAGAGTGACAATAAGACGGACTACCGGAGAGGGAGTGTGAGACAAGGGGAGAGAGATCAGCAGCTTTATAGAGAAAAAGAGAGGAAATTAAGAGTTGATACTCAATCTCAATAATCTCCTGATATCATTACACAGCCACATTCTCCACGTCCAATACATTTCTTGCAATTACTCACCGCGGTAACGATATTAAAGCTAATGCTACCGGTGATTATTGCATCGCTGCTATTTGTTCTTATTAAGCCAGGTCGCCGTCAATTTGTAATAGATGGGCACGTGTTTTGCCATCGTAAAAATGCCAATGAATCCATTATCCACTAATATAGCAAAGCTGAGATGAGGTGTAGGAAGCGTTGACGATGTGGGAAAAGAAGACGGCAGTTTTACAAAGAAAAACTCAAAAACAGAAATATTTATGCTATTTAGCTTCAGGATTGGAGAGTTCAGAATGCATGTAATGGCGTAACAGCACAAAGGCAAAAGAGGTGAAAAGACGTAATCGGATTAGAGATGTATTTATAAAAAATCGGGATAACTACCTGATTTAGAATTTTAAAATACATTTTAAGAATGATATACAGTACAACCATGCAAATGCACTCACATTTAGATACAATTATTCCATTGTTTTGTTATGCATCCTACTTGTAAAAATGTGTATGGGCCATACAAAGCAAAGTAGTCACTTAAATGTACTTTGCTACCAGAGACACCGGTGGCGTATATTACTTCAATTTTATTATATACTTAAAAACACAAGGTTATTAAGCATTAAAGCATTTCCACTCTAAAGTCTGCCTACAATCAGGCACAAACTGGCAGCCAAAAACCAGTCCATAGAGTGGCGCATGAATTTTGAATGAGTTTTTGAAAAACCCACAGGAGAATAGCATTTAAATATCACTCTGACACTCCAGTTCAAATCAAAGAACCTTAAAGTCTGTGTGGATCGGGGACAGTTCCCCTCACTTTCTGAAATCAATCCATCCATCCATCCATCCACAACACAATGCATACTTTAAATGGCCTGTCTGCATGATGAAACAGAGACGGTATCTGTTGCAGTGAATCTAAAATGAAGTGGAGTTGCTTTCTGTGTTGATGTATGGCAGTGTAGCCCTGGCTCCTGTATCTCTGGGCTGTGTTTCTCCTCTGCAGCCCACCGGCCTCTGTTACATCACACACCTGCTTATTGAAGCTGCTTCATGCTGCAGTTTGAACACTGTGACACATATCTGTACAAACAGCAAACAGGGTATCTTCTTGTAGAGGTTCAAGACAATACGTTTCATTAAAATAGTAGCTAATTAACACCTAATCTTAGAAAACAGTTTTTTGTTGAAGCCACAGTTTGTGTCATATATTCTCATTAAGTAGGAATGTAACATATACCCCTAGAGCTTTTTCAGCTCTCACTCCCAGTCAATGTGCTGTTATGCTGTCTGTTGATGGATTTGGATACACTTATCATTTCACACCACCTGTAGAGCTAACTAAGTGTAAAAAACTATAACGGTGAAGGGATTATACAAACCAGCTGGCCTAGGAGTACATTCAGAGGGAACACTTTATTATAGAGTGGTGCAGTGATGATGTTTTGATTTAGGCTGACCCATAAGTTAACATTGCAAGGCGTCACTTAAAAAAAGCAATGGAATTTGTATATTGGATTTCGGTATATTGCAGAAAATAAGCTTTGTGGCCAGCACACATTTATAATACGTACCATGTTTTGTTCAGTAGGAAAATCTCCACATATACCACTTTGTGATTTTTAAATATTCTATAAAAGAACTACATGGCTGTGTGTCACCATAGCTTAGCTAAAGACGGACTTCTGTCGGCATGATGAAGTTTATTAGTCTCATTTAGTTACTGATGTATTTAATTTCGTAGAACAAAACGTGAAAGTCTTGTTTACTTCACCACAGATCTTATTTGAGGGATCTATCTACAAACACGGTCAGAAAACCATTGACTTTGAGACGAGGGAACCAGAAGTGGTGCTAACTAATTTTTGGGTTTTAGGGATCATTACTGTGGGACTTTATATGTTACAAAATATTGTGATAAGCCGTGAAGGAACGAGTGAAGGACGACAAGGATCACAAATGATCTCATAATTGATGAAAAGTTAATATTTAGAACTTGCTTGTACAAGCGATATAAAATGAGGAACAGAATCAGACTGTCTTACTGCGTAGCAAGGTTATTCCATAAGAAGGGATAGGAGGAAAAGGACCATTGGTTTACTGATGTCCTATAAACACTGGGGACAAACAGGAGCCCTGTATTCTGAGAACTGGAAGTCTGAGGGTTTATACGCTTTATGTAGATCAGTCAGTGGCGTGCCCATTTACACTAGTCCCTATTTTCACAGTAGCCCCTTTTTATGTGACATGGTTAACACACTTAATAACATTCATTATGTCCCGGTTTTTTAGAAGTTCCAAGGCCCTGGTTTTGTGTATTCTGCTCACCAGAATGACTTTGACATACCAAATGGAACCAAATGATGACCACAACTAATTGGCTGGCTTCCAGAAAATACAGGTCTCATAGGAACTCTATGACGCAGGGGGAGCTAGTTTAGCCAAAAGTGTTTGGTTGTTTTTTTCTAACAGTTGTTTCAGTTAACATACCTTTTCTTGTGTGTACCTTAAAATTATGTATGATGGTGGGAATTGTGGGAATGGCAGCACGTTTAGGATATGAGGATTTTAAAGCTCCTATCCACTGGTCATGTCATCCACATTTCGTCAACATACACACTAATTCAAAAATATCCCAAAAGGCATTTGTTACAAGCTTCGAACAAGGTTGAATATTTCGAAACGTTTCGATATGATTTGAAAGTTGAATTATGTAAGAAAGATGTAGATAAGACTATTTAAAGTATTAGTCATCTCCTTTCCTTATTGCCTAATCCCTTAATCCTTCCTTATCTCTCTTGCTTCCTTCCTTCCATCACACCCTCCTCCTTTCATCATTAGTACCCTTCCTTTTTAAGTTCATTCTTATGTGTTTCATTCTAATAAACATTAGATTGATTTCATCCTATGGTTGTAAATTCTGCTGTACTCACACCAGGCTCTATTATGTTGTTTTATATTTTCTGTCATCTAACGTTACATCATTAGGACATTTCTTTATTGTTTTTATAGCCTTCCATTTTAGTTTTGAGAGACTTATTGATGATTTATCCTTGCAGACTATAAGACGCTATAAAAAAAAGTGATATTGCAAACAGTGAGTGATTGTGCTGGAAGGTTTTTCCATTTACCCTGCAAGTCTCACTTTCTCTTTATGTGACTGAATATGACCTTTGTCATATTGATGGTAGTTGTCACAGCTTAAATAAAAGAGACATACAGAGAGGGAGAGTATGCCATGGGAAAGATGGAAGAGTGACAAGAATACACATCCATGGGGTTAGAGAGAAATGACCCCGCCTACACACACACACTCATACAGACAGATAAAGATACAGTGTGAGAAAGAAACTCAGCAGCAGATGGCTGTAAATCCCCCGTGATGAGCGAAGAAAGGTCAAAACCCTGGAATCACTCGGTATAGCAGTGGTGCTGATCCCAGACAGGTTAAATGTTCATAAGTCCTACTCTCTATAGGAAATATTTTATTATAAGCAAAGAAATGCAGGATCCAGTATTGCCTTGGACAGAAGGTTAGTTGGACTGGAGCCATAAACAGTGGTGCAGTGATGTGAAGACCAACCCAGAAGTTAGCATCGCAAGAGCTACCTCGACAAAAAGCAATGGGATTTTTCCATTGGATTATTGTAGAAATAGGATCTGTGGCAACAAACAGTTATGATACTTTCATATTTTGTTCAGCAGGATAATCTCCACATATTAACACATTTTATATTTTTTGAAGAATAAATAGCTAATGTTAGGCTGCAAACAAACTACATCACGGTCAAATGACTTCAGACCACAACTGCTAAGCTAAATGCGGCTAATGTTGTGTAATTTAGTCACTTATTAGCAACCGCTGTTTTTTGACACATAGAAGCTTTATACAGTATATTCATAGGTGGAGTACTGTCTGATGTTTTTTTTGTTGTTAGACCAACCCAAAAAACCTTTGATTGGGAAAAGAGCAAACTTAAAGTGATAAAATGTTAACTTCTTAAAATGGGAGAAACTCAGGTTTCTTCCATTTTTCCCCAATTGAGTGTGGGGTTTCTTTGGAAGTTTTTCCTTGTCCGATGTGAGGCTCCAAAGACAAAGGGTCATATTCATATTCTGTTCAAACTGTAAAATCCACTGAGACAAATGTAACATTTGTAC